TCTTGAGCGACCGATACGCTTTAAACAGAGAAAGGGCGTAATTTAATTAAGCCTACATGCCGTGACCAGGATTCGAACCTGGGTTGTCGTGGCCACAACGCGAAGTACTAACCACTATACGATCACGGCCAGCACGCTCACTTCGATTGGGGCCGAAGTAACTGTGTCAATAGGCCTCCAGTCTTGTCGGTATGTTTAGAAATCATGTCCTCGATTTTATGGTCCTTGGGGCGTAATTTAATTAAGCTAATTTAGGTCTCTAATTGCTAGTTTTTATGATTGCATCTGAAATTGTTAGGCGAAAATAGCCTGCATTCCAAATTTCAGATCTCTAGAGCAATCAGAAGTGGGCTAATTTTCGATGTCAATTTTAACAACAAACATCCAAACAAACGCGAAGCTGAGTTAAGAAAAACGTGTTTAAAAAAATAATTTATGAGTTTAATTTAATCTTGAGTATTAACATTATGTGATATAAAAATAAGATAAGTCGTGTAACAAATTTGTTTCTCGATATTCTTACTCAGTTGATGTAATGGGTTTAGTACTAACTATTGCACATATCGCTTATACATTTCAAAGTTTTTTTCAAACACTGACACATTTAAAATTTCGGGTTTATTTCATTATTGATATTGTTTAAATGTTTAAGCTGATTGTGATGTGTGTCACTGTATGTTATAATATATGAGCATTTTCTAAACACTTATTGATCTAAATATATTGTCATAATATTTTGCAAATTTTATAATCTAGAAATTATCTAGTGAGTGATATAATCACCACACATTGTGGTATGTTCTGCTTGTAAACTTGTGACTACAAATGTTTAGTCTATATTGAATTTATTTTCACTCTACTTTTTGAGATGTACAATGTTTATCGGTGCCTGGCACATGATCCTGCCCTACTAGCATTGTACTTAGAAAATTTTGTTTCTCAGAGTTTTATTTGAAAGGGGGACGTGTAACAGACTGTATTTTTGGTATCGTTTATCTATATTGTATTTACCATGAACTTGTACAAAAGGAGAATACCTGGCCAACGAAGGACTATGTGAGCGACAAATCATGTTTTTCCATGCTTTTGTAAGATCGTTCACATACTTAAGGGGAGAGAATGAAGGATATAAAAGGGGAGCATAAGGTGGACAAGGTGTGCCTTTATAGAATAATGTAAGCCGTCACTAGGTTACTCTGCTCATGGTATGCCCTTAGATCATGGATTTGTTATTATTATGGCTAATGGATCTATATTTTTACTGTAAATAAAGTTTAAAATTAAAAGAACTGTTCATCGTCTCAATTGAAGAACTCACAATAACAACGTATTGTCCCATCAACACGCGTTGCTACAAATACATACAAGTCAAATACCAGAACAAATTAGTAGAAAAAAACCTGTGTTCTTCTTATCTATAAATTGTTACCTGTGTTATATGGATGTGAAATGGAACAATAACTACCTATGGTGTCTTATATTATCGCGAATAAGTAGTTCAACCCTCTAACAGTCGCAACATTTTGGTGGAGACAGCTTAAGTTAAACAACGACTACAAGCTTCAACAACCCGAATTTGAAGATTCGCATATTATAAGAAGACCCGTATTTGACGATCTAAGTGTGAGGATCTTATTTGGAAAACCGTGTGTGAAGATATTTGCTAAGAAAAATTTTACGCTGAAGTCTTGAGCTGGGAAGACCCGTATCGTAAGGACCAGTGGAGGTATAAAAACCGGACAAACATATATATACATCGTGGGAATGTATCGTGAAACCCGTATCAATGGAGCACAAGTTCATTCGACGGATAGTTCTACTGATAGAACATACCGCTGGATCGTACAACAGGTAATTCAACAACGAATATTTCAACCGCTATACTGTTGAGATCAGCTGATTTTTCACCTTCATTTAGCTGTGCATGTGACGTCAACGTAACCTTGACCGTGAATGGTTAGCAACATAACGTCGGCAATACAAAACTGAAAACTCGTAGATACGTCAAACTGCCTTATAAACATTGGATCCTGTGTCGTTGTGAGTTACCTTCAAGACATTTGTGGAGAACTAGACGGACAGTCTTAGCTCTGTCGGTCGGTCGGTCGGTGTTTCGGTCGGTCTGTCGATTGGTCTATTGGTCGGTCGGTCGGTCAGTAGATCAATCGATTTGTAGGCCGGTCGGTAAGTTTGTCGGTCAGTCGGTTGTTCGGTCGGTTGGTCTGTTGAACTGTCGGTCGGTAGTTCTGTCAGTCTGTCGGTTGTTCGGTCGGTCAGTAGATCAGTCGCCCGGTAGATGTTTGCTCAGTCAGTCTGTCTGTTTGTTCCATCAGTTTGTTCTTCGAACGATGGGTAGATCAATCTATCAGTCTTGTAACTATTTGTCTCTCTCTCTCTCTCTCTCTCTCTCTCGCTATCACTATCTCTTTCTGCTTATCTATCCTGTCTTTCTCTGTGTCGCTCACTGTCTCTATCTCTCGTTTTTATATTTGTCTCTCTGTCTGTCTGTCTATCTGTCGGATTCTGTGTCTATATAATTCTCGATCTATAGGTCTCCTTTTTAACCCACTGCTATTGTAATACTTGTATATAGTAGTCAACACAAATAAATATAAATTTCAATCTAATTCAATCTTAAAGTAGTTATCAATATAGGCCTACTTCTAAAAATCAAATGTTTGTATATAATTTATTTATTGATTTTTTGTTTTCATTTTTTTGTCTGTTTTGTTAGATTAGATTAGAGCATCTGCTCTATGTGTAGAGCTGTTAAATACGTATTTGTATAGATTATTTCTTTTTCTCGAATAATATACACACATGTAAAAACAGTACATAATTTATTAATATGTTTGTTTGTAGAAATACCCCTTTAATTATAAAAGTTCGGATCAAATACTTTATTAACAACAAACATGGCGATGTTCATTGAAGACCATGGTACCCTTTAAAAACGCATTATAAAGCTTAATGATCTAGCAAATAGCTTTAAGTATAGGCATATTAGCAATTTTAAGGTTCCAACACTTTTATCAATTTTAATAGAATATGCTAAATTAACAGTTCTTCTAATTTGAGTATGCAATCAATGTATCTAGATCTATCTATAAGCTGTCAAAAGAAAAGTATTCAAAGTAGGCAGAACCAAAAATAATTAGTTAAAATGAAAAACAAGCATGCAAACACAATAAATAAATGAGTTTTTTTTTATTTAACCATTTTTGTCCTTGAATGTTTGATTTTTAGCTTCACAGATCATGTAATTCGACAAAACATGGAATTCATCTGGAGTTACTGATAATTAAACTAGAGCAATTTTTCGTCTGTCCGTAGATTCTATCTAGATCTGGATCGAGATTCTAGATATATAATCTAATTCAGGCCAATAACACAGTGAATAATTTAGTTTCTTTACTAAGCTATTTCAGGCCTTAATTATTATATTTAAATCTTTGTATTTTAACAAGTGACTTGGCTAAAGTAGGATATAAGCCGGCTTTAGTAAAATAACCACATGTATTTAGACCAAATGATAATTGCCCAACTAGACACGACGATAGTGTTATAGACACCATGTAGGTGGTATAGGTGCGAAACACATTACGGTTTAAATTTTCCCTCATTGAAAATGCACCGTACTAGATCACAACGCATGCGATTGGTTCTAATGCGCGTGGACCATTGAATGAGGTGTCAAATATTTTAAGAGCATTATTCATTTTTTATTCTTTACTTTAACTGTTTAACTTTCGTACTGTAACTTAATTTTTCTTTACAAACCGGCTTTACAGTAAACGAAAAAAGTGAACTATAGTCCAACTGATTCTGGTCCTTTACCACATGAAGTGATAGTGTGACCTACATAGTGCTTGTTTTTTTCCCTAATTTAAAATCAGGTACCCATCAGAACTTGGTGACCTAGAGGACGTCCTATAGAAACAGGTTCGAGTTACGAACTAAGTTCGATCTGCAGTCAAGCGCGCTACAGTCCGTTCATTCAACCCATACATAAAAATAAATCAAATACGAAAGAAAAACTTTATAATAATAAGCTTTTACGTGTCATTAAATTATGTAGGAAATTTCATAAGAGACCATTGTTTTATTAAGAAAGCACATTTTTTCTTGTTTAATGTGATTTATTTTGTGTTTTTTTAATAATTGGTCAATTATTTTTGTTAAATTCGCTTTTGTTTTTTATTTTAGTAATTGTTCAAATAAGTTGTGATCAGTAATCTAATGCAGGGGTCTCCAAACTACGGCCCGCGGGCCGGATGCGGCCCGCGATGTCCTCTCATCCGGCCCGCGGAGATCTTTTTGTCCAAGGAAAAATCGTTTGTTGGTGATGATGAGGAACTTTGCGCAGAAAAATCAAAGACATGCCTGGAAGAAACTGGCCCCCGATCTGAAATTTTATAGTTAATGCGGCCCTCGAACTGAAAAGTTTGGAGACCCCTGATCTAATGTATAATAAGTTACAAATTAAATATTCTTGCATTTTCATCAGAGAAGAATGTAAACTAAACAACTCGTAATTATATTTTGTATTTCTAAATAACTATAAAGCATAATACACGTACTAACCTAGTTAAAAAAAAGGATCTTTGTTTTCAGTCCAACTTTTAATGTCTTTTGCTTTTATAAAATTTAGCTTTATGAAGTGCAAACTATACATCTGAGAGTGAACCCTTACTACATGCCCACAGCATTTGCTAAACACTAGAATCATATATATCCACGCAGATACAATATACATTGATTTAATAAAACTCCTAATTAAGGCACATGATCTACATTATTAATTTATTAACTTACGCATTTGTATATTGTAAAATGTTTCTATCTCATTAATAATATCAATATAAAATATAAAATAAAATATAAAGTAAAATATAAAATAAAATATAAAATAAATATAAAAATAAATAAAATAAATAAACACCTTTCATTAGTTAGCAATTTAAAACACACGATAAAACACGAACAGATTACCAACTTACAATTTGCAACGTTGGTTCTGTGTATATTTACTGCAATCAACGGTCGCCTCTGATAGTAGCTAGGTGCGGCCAAACGAACGTTTTATAGAATATTACAGACAACCTAGTTGGCTGGGCGTGTTGGATCATCATCCAATAGAAATGTCTCATTAGTCCATTAACAAATAAACCGATCGCTACAATGTAACACGTACACTGTAGGCGTATCATGACTGTTATATATTATTTTGTTTAACCTATCAAAAAACGAATAGCTGTATGTTAACTTTACGAGTGTTTATATATCATATTCTCAAAGTGGACTTTAAATTGGATGTTATAGGTGGGTGGTAAATGGTAGTATTGTATAAAATGGTAGTTTGAGGATAACGTTAATCATAGTTCAAGTTTTAAACAACCGAAAATGTACGTGTATGGAGTGGAGACTTGGAGGACAAAAAGGTGACCATTGATAAGTCCACACATAAATATACACATAAGCATTAGCAACAGCATACTCATACGCATACGCATTCGCATACGCATACGCTTACGCATACACATACACATACGCATACGATACGCATACGCATACGCATACGGTGCCGTGTTAGAATCAGTTGTTTGATTTTTTAATATTAATATTATTTATTCAACTACTATTCTCTACTACCTACCTACCTACCTACCTACCTACCTACCTACCTACCTACCTACCTACCTACCTACCTACCTACCTACCTACCTACCTACCTACCTACCTACCTACCTACCTACCTACCTACCTACCTACCTACCTACCTACCTACCTACCTACCTACCTACCAACCTACCAACCTACCTACCTACCTACCTACCTACCTACCTACCTACCTACCTACCTACCTACCTACCTACCTACTTACCTACCTACCTACCTACCTACCTACCTACCTACCTACCTACCTACCTACCTACATACCTACCTACCTACCTACCTACCTACCTACCTACCTACCTACCTACCTACCTACCTACCTACCTACCTACCTACCTACCTACCTACCTACCTACCTACCTACCTACCTACCTACCTACCTACCTACCTACCTACCTACCTACCTACCTACCTACCTACCTACCTACCTACCTACCTACCTACCTACCTACCTACCTACCTACCTACCTACCTACCTACCTACCTACCTACCTACCTACCTACCTACCTACCTACCTACCTACCTACCTACCTACCTACCTACCTACCTACCTACCTACCTACCTACCTACCTACCTACCTACCTACCTACCTACCTACCTACCTACCTACCTACCTACCTACCTACCTACCTACCTACCTACCTACCTACCTACCTACCTACCTACCTACCTACCTACCTACCTACCTACCTACCTACCTACCTACCTACCTACCTACCTACCTACCTACCTACCTACCTACCTACCTACCTATCTACCTACCTACCTACCTACCTACCTACCTATTATTTTTCAGATTGTTTTGAAAATTAAATAATTTACCGCTCTCTGTGTCTTCCAACAAAAAAAAAAGATTTTTTTTAAACAATCCATTTCTTCAAGCAGAGCAAATGCTGGGTTTTCCTTTCCTTGCAGTTTTACATTTAGCACGTTTACTTTCTTTGTGATATTTACCATGAAGTTAAATGTTTCAATTAGGGATGGACAAGTACAATGAAAATAGGGAGTAACTAAACATTCTAATATAATAGCAAATATTTATTGCTTATAATTATTAAGATACGTTCAACATAGCATGTTGCAAATATAAAATTTGAGTTTTAAAAATAAAATATAATAATTATTAATATTTGTGTATGGTTGCCGACCCCTGCCCTGGGGAAAATAAAACATCTGTACATCTTTTTAAGCTATATAAATGTTCTAGACTGCTAACCAGAATGTCTCCAGCTCAAATCAGTAAAATTTCCCTGAGTCCACCAAGCTGTTGCGAGTACCTAACTCACACTAAGTAAAGCCAACGAGTTAGGGCATATTGCTGATTACACTATCCTTTCATATTCTGAAGTCGCTGAAACAGATTAGCTATACTTTATCTATCCCATGTATTTAGGACGTAAACTGGGAAAGAATAACTACTATCTATCTATCTATCTATCTATCTATCTATCTATCTATCTATCTATCTATATATATAAATATAAATATATATATATATATATATATATATATATATATATATATATATATATATATATATATATATATATATATATATATATATATATATATATATATATATAAAGCAATGTATGTGTGTGTGTGTCTTTTATGCATTACCACACCTCTTATCACATCGCCGTGAAACTTCGGGAAGTTGTTGAGAATATTCCTGGGGAGGTTTCTGCGAAAAAAAAATCAAATTCGCAGGGGTGGCGTTTTTTGTTTTTTCTCTATATACGGTATATAAAAATAAAAGTCTATTTTGATTTCACACTGTTCATCCGATAGTCATGAAACTTTGGGGAGTTCGTTATAACCCTCTAGGGAAGGGTTGTGTAAAAAAATATTTTTTTATTTCGCAAGGGCGGCGCCACGGGAGGGTGCGATTTTTCTCTATATACGGTATATAAAAATAATAAAAGTGAATTGCAGTGACACCGTTCATCTGATAGGCATGAAACTTTGGGGGTGTTGATTAGGACACTCTGAGTAAGGGTTCTGTAAAAAAAATCATAATTAATTTCGCAAGGGCGGCGCCATAGGAGGGTGCGATTTTTCTCTATAATACATATATAAAAATAATAAAAGTGAAATGCGGTGACACCGTTTTCACGATCGCCATGAAACTTTGGGGAGTTCATCATAAAACTCTAGGAAAGGGTTCTAAGAAAATCATTTTTAATTTCGCAAGGGCGGCGCCATGGGAGGGTGCGATTTTTCTCTATATACGGTATGTAAAAATAAAAGTCGATTTTGGTGTGACACCGTTATCCGATAGCCATGAGACTTTGATCGAGATGATTAGAACAATTCAGGGAAGGGTTCTGTAAAAAAAAAATCCTTTTTAGATTTCGCAAGGGCGGCGCCACGGGAGGCTGCGATTTTTCTCTATATACGGTTTATAAAAATAAAAGTCTATTTCGGTTTCACACCGTTCATTCGTGGACCATGAAACTTTGGGGAGATGATTAGATCACTCAATAGTAGGGTTCTGCAAAAAAAATATTGTTTAATATTGCAAGGGCGGCGCCCTCCGGGGGGGGGGAGCGATTTTTTTCTCTATACACGGCATATAAAAAAAAAATCTGATGCGGCTCATCCGAGTGCCATGAAACTTTAGGGAGTAGATGAGAATACTCCCGAGAATATTTCTGCGAAAAAGAAAACTAAAGTTTCTTATGGGCGGCGCCATATAGGGTACAACTTTTGTCAATACACGGTTGGGCGCCCAGAGTTTTAGAGCGACTATGTTAACACTTGGCATCCGTTAATCGAGCGTCCTGCATAGCGTGTAAGGGGTACTACTATATTCAGCGGTAAAACTACAACAGGCTTTTAAAAATAAATTTGTAACGAGAGAAAATCTTTCTGTACAGTTTCGTCACCTTGCCAAAGATGAAAAAATAACTTTTTGAACATGAGGAGCCTACTGTAGAGTTTCGTCACTTTGCGATTGATGCAATAAGCATCTATTATTAGACAATCCAGTCAGAAATTGAGATCGAGCATCTAATAATAGACCATTAGTAACGCTAGCATATTGCATCAGTCACACTGATGTTTAAAACACGTCAAATACTTTTTTTTACGTGTTAAAGAAAAAAATCCTGTTCATTTGTGTCACTTTAGCGAATGACGAAATCTGCATCATTATTAACAGGATGCTATTTGGCACGATGGCGCCTGTTAGTTTTAAGGAGCCAGGGGTCGTACGCCGCGCCTATGCGGTAGTGTAATCGGGGGGGCGTAGGCCCTGAGAGCGCCCCTCTACGTCTCTGACACATGGGCGGTCACCGAAGTGTGTTCTACCATATTTTTTCGGTGAGTGATTAATGTACACTCAATGTTTTCATGCGGTAGTGTAGGTAAACCCGTATCCCGATATTTATGATCCATTGTTTACATTTAAATAACTCACTTTTAGAAAAGACGGTCACGCGTCTAAGAATATATGATTGGTAACGCGTTGGTGAAATCCTAATACATTCGTCAAACTTTCTTCTATCCCCGCGGCAACTCGCGGGGGACGGGAACGCTAGTACATTATAAAAAAATAATTATAACGGAACATTGAGTGTTTTAAAGGAATCAATATCAATAAACGTATTCATAAACAGATCCGTATACTGTGTCTTAAACATTACAACCGCGATGGTGTTTTACGTGTGCGTGTGTGAGCATGCGATTATGTTCACAATTCATTTCATTATGAATTTTTAAATCATCATATGTTCTTAAGGGATTACATTAGTAAACTTATAAATTATCTGCATATTACCTACATTCCAGTGCATGGGATTATACAGGCCTTGATTGTTTGTAGCAACGTGCCATCATCCACTGTTTTAAGTGGTTATCGACCAGGCCAACCGTTTTATTAAAAATTCCTACCATTTCCACAGACAATTCGTAAAACTAGTTCAAGTATTTGTTAATAAAATAATTAATAGTTCAAAACATGAGGTAGAAATTTTGTTATGGCGTGCGGCGTCAAAATGGCCAATGACAAAACGGCCCAATCTAAACGACTTTTTCAAAACGGCCCCGACATAAAATCCACGCCCAATCGACCCAGTCAAAAGGCCCATCGACAAATGAACCCCGTAATATATGCTTCAGATAAATAGGCTCCTGTCATTTTGGCTCCGGACAAAAAGCCCCTTTCTATACGGTTTCCGTAGGGATTAAGTCTTCCGGCGAAACGTCGTTTTTGAATATGACAAATGCTCGTTGCACCCATTCATCAATAGTCTTATCGTATGCATCTCATGTTCATCAGGCCTTAATTTTATATTTTATCTAGTATCAGAAATGGAGTTGTTTTTAATTTTTATTTTGAGTCAACTGGCTATGACGACCATAAAT